GAGAGAGAGAGAGAGAGAGGGAGAGAGAGAGAGATAGGAAACGATGGGAAGACAACATCAAAGAGTGGACTGGCTGTGACTAGAACATCATACTACGTAGATCTCTCTCTCTCTCTCTCTCTCTCTCTCTCTCTCTCTCTCACACATACACACACACACACACACACACACACTTTTTTACCGCCAGCACCGTTACCGCCAGCTTTTGCCAGTGTACAAAAACGAACGCCTACCGGTATATAAACACAGTATTTGCGCTGTTACTCCGCCATCCGCTATCTGTCTGAGTTGCACAGTCCTTATTAAACTAACGTAATTTTGTCAAATTGTCCCGCTATACTGCCAGTGAATTGTCCGCCAGAGACACACACTCGGTGCACGTAATTTCGTTACTATTCGTTTTTGACATGCGCACGGTAATCGCGCTAGACATCTAGACTAGTCAAGACTGGCCACAATTTGTCTCTAGTCTCTACCAGTTCATCACTGGTCAGTATAATATGGCAATCAGTGCTATCCCGTTATACCGCCAGCCCCGCTGTAACGCCAGCTTTATGCTCGTCTCAAAGTAGGCGGTATAACGGGATTTGACTGTATACATTGTATAATAAATCATTAGCCGGCTCTCAGGACACTATAAAACAACCCAGTGCATGTTAAACATGTGCCTTTAACTGGCAGCCCAAAGATATCGCGCCAAGAATAGTGCAACCTAGGCTGCGTGTTGTTCGACTGTTATAACCCCGCTAATAGCCCAAAGAGGTTCAACAGATCTGGACTTGAGAACATCATGAAAACAGGCTTGAGGTATCATTACAACTTACAACAGGCTTGAAGAAACAGAGAATCTCGCAAACCAAAAGACAACTCTCTATAACGACATTTTTTTCTGGAGGGTTCTTCTTTTCTTTGTGCCTGTTGTTGTTTTTTTAAGGAGAAGGGGGTTCGATTCACTTTCGCTGTTTAAGTTTACCCACTCACCTGTGTTCGAAGCGTTCTTGTGCAGAGCGCACGTGCCACAACATAGCTCTTCGTTCCCGTAACATCCCATAGGTATGTCCAGGCTTGAGGTGCACGCTGCAGTGTGGTCTCCGTATTCACAGCCTGGTCACAGGAAAGGTCGAATATAGTGTTGAAGATAATGTAGTGATAATAATAATAATAACAATACTAATATTACGTGTAATAATATTATCAATAATGATTTTAAACAACAACAAAAAAATTAAAGTTTTAGAAAATAATTTAAAAGATTATAAAATAATAAACAATTCTAATGATAACAAAATTAATCAATTAATTAATTAATTAATTAATAATAATAATAATAATAGAGGCTAATAACAATTTTCTAATAATAATAATAATAATAATAATGATAATAATAATAATAATAATGGAGCTACGGCCCAATTTTGCGTACAGTATATTCTCAGAAACTGCAGGATGAAAAAATTTGAAACTTTGCCAGGACCCATAACTTGAAACGTAGTGTCGCACTATTGTATTTTCATTAAAATAAAATGTGTAAGAAGAAAGCCTATGTTAAATCAAATTCGGTCCTTTTGTAGCGATCGCCACCATTTACTTCGACATTGTATATATATTCACTGCAGAATGCCGAAGGATATTTTGTGTTCAGTTATACAGTCGAACCTGTCTTAACGGAAACCTGTGTAAAACGGAAACCTGTCTTAACGGAATCTCCCCGCTCCCCCCTTGATATATTCCTCTTTAATTACCTGTATAAAACGGAAACCTGTCCAACGCGGAAACGGAAAGAAAAATCCGCTCCCTTCCGAGGGTTTCACCTGTCTAAGACGGAAAATGC